TTCAACTAGGATCGAATCTCGATCTAACCTTAAAATCTTAAATTTTATATATTCGATTCGATTTTAATTACCTCTCAAAAAAATAACAACACAACTTGACTTGTTGAGAATATATATATATATATATATATATATATATATATATATATATATATATATATATATATATATATATATATATATATATATATATATATATATATATATATATATATATATATATATATATATATATATATTTGTTGGGGGAGTTATTAGGAGCATTGATACAAAGTTAAAGAATATGCACCATTGTAAGAGACACACCACTTATCCACCTAAAATCTTAAACTGATAGGTGAGTGGGTTCTCCCACTTATATATACTCAAGTCTCCACATTCGTATTTAATGTAGGACTATTTCCCCACTTACTCACACTTGCATTATTATTCTAACACTCCTCCTCAAGTGTGAGTCCACAATGCTCTTCTTCAAGACATTTGTACCGCCGTTGACACCTTGCAACAGAACATCTCTTCTTGGACATTTCCATGAAACCGTAGAAGTGGTTACCGACGGCATTCCTGCGTTGGCTGCAAATGAAACCGATGAACAGAAGAAAAAAAACCCACAATGAAGGATTGCAAGGCTGCTTATTGCATTCATACGATGATCGATGCTGCTAATTTCGACAAAATCTCTCGTGTTGAAACGGTAAAGAGGCATGAGATATTCTTGTGAAGTATTACGAAGGAGGTGAGAAAGTCAAGGTTGCCAAGTTACAAACCTTGCGTCAACAATATGAGTTGTTGTCAATGGGGAAGATGAAAAAGTTGCAGAATATGTGTCGAAGGTTCAGAAACTCGTCAATCTCATGAAGAATTATGGTGAAACTATAACTGATAAGATAATAGTTGAGAAGATAATGAGAACGTTGACTTCTCACTTTGATCAAGTTATCGTAGCTATTCAAGAATTCAACAATCTTGAAACCACAAAAGTGGAAGATTTGGTTTGTTCGTTGGAGGCGCACGAGATGAGGATTGTCGAAAGGAAATGAGTTCAGGACTCGATACAGATGTTGCAAGCTCAGTTATGGAAAAAGAATGGTGATTCCAAATGAATTCAAAGGCAAAGTCGACAAGACTCATGGAAAAGAGTCTTGGTCTAAACCTCACAAGCATCAGGTCGAAGATAGAACTTATGAATCCTCGAAAAGAAGAGAAGGAAACTATCGAAAGGACAAAGAAAATAAAAAAAGTCTGAAATTCTATAACTGTAAAAAGTGGGGTCACATAGCCAAGAGTTATTGGTATAGAAAAGAAAAGGGATCGACAGTCAAGGACGAAGGAGCGAACTTTGAATTCCAATATTCAGATGATTCTAAAGGTGGTATGGTGGTTATGGATGCAGTTGCAGATGACCACGTCGAATCCAATATCTAGTTCCTCGATTCAGGCTGCTTGAATCATATGACTGGTCGAAAGAGTGGTTGACAAATTTTGACGAGTCGAAGAAGAGCAGGTAAAACTTGCTGATAATAGCTCGTTGCAAGCAGAAGGTACTGGCATAGTCTTTCAAATGAGTAATAAAGGGAAAGCTATAATTAAAAATGTGCTATATGTACCTGGAATGAAGTGAAACCTTCTAAGTGTTGGACAACTGGTTGAAAAAGGTTTCTCAGTTATTATGAAAGATGGATCTTTGAAATTATTCGACACCAAGAACAATTTAGTCTTAAAATATTTGTTGTCGAAGAACAAGACATTTAAGACTATGATCAATTCGATAGAAGTTCAATGTTTAAAAACTGTTGTCGACCCAAGAATAGTTGGTTGTGGAATTTGAGATTTAGATATTTGAATTTTCGATCACTTAATCAATTGATTACTCAAGATATAGTTACTAGTATTCCAAGTATTGAGATGCATGAAAAACTTTGTGAAAGTTGTTTAGTAGGAAAGCAATCCATAAATTTGTTTGTTTCGATTATGCCAATGAGATCGTTCTGCATTCTCGAAGTGGTACATTCAGATGTATGTGGTCTATCTGAAGAAAATATAATTGGTGAAAAAAAATATTTTCTTTCGTTTGTTGATGAGTTCAGTCGAAAGTTTTCGATCTATGTGATCCAAAGAAAGGAAGAAGTATTCAAAAATTGTAAGAGATTCAAGATACTTGTCGAAAACTAGAGTAAGAAGAGGATCAAAGTTCTGCGAATAGATAGAGGTGGTGAATACACTTCGAAGATGTTTGAAAAATTATGTGTAGAACATGGTGTTTATCACGAGGTAACTGCTCCTTATACGCCTCAACATAATGGAATTGCATAAAGAAGAAACAAAACCATATTGGATATGGTGAGATGCATGCTAAAACAAAAGAATTTGCCAAAATCCTTTTGGGGAGAAGCTGTTTCGACTGCAATTTATATCCTAAACAGGTGCCCTGCCAAGATATTGAAGAACAAGGTTCCTGAAGAAGTATGGAGTGGCAAACAACCATCAGTGAGTCATTTGAAGGGATTTGGCTCTATATATTAAAAGCATGTTCCTGATGCAATAAAAATGAAGCTTGATGACAAGAGTGAACCCATGATTCTGGTAGGATATAATAAGACTGATACATATAGGCTATTCAATCTAGTTAATGAGAAGATTGTATTGAGTCGAGAAATTGTGATTGATGAAAATTCTTCCTGGGACTGGAATTCTAGTCATTCAATTAACAACCCAATGATGAGCTCTGATTTCAATGAAGAAACTGATAAAGTCGAAGTAGAAGCAGTTGTTAACATTTCTAACACAGTCGAAGTCAAAGAGGATGTGGCTAGCACAAGCTATAGAGCTCAATGAAATAGAGTTCCTCCAACAAGACTTCATGATGATGAAGCGGTAGGTGATGATGACGTCATGCCAGATAAAGAATTAGTTCATTTTTCTTTACTTGCAGGTGTTGAATCAATTAACTATAACAAAGCTTTAAAGACTAAACAATGGAAGTTATCTATGGTCGAATAGTTACAGTCAGTCGAAAGAAACAACACATGGGAGTTAGTCAAATTTCCAGCACAGACAAAAGCTATCAAAGTAAAGTGGGTGTTCAAGTTGAAACACAATGCTGATGAGTCGATAGAAAGACATAAAGCAAGATTAGTAGCTCAAGGATTTCTTCAAAGAGCACGACTCGACTACTCTGAAGTATTTTCTCTAGTAACAAGATTGGAGAGTGTTCGACTAGTGGTAGCATTGACATGCAACCAAGACTGGTCGACATTTTATTTAGATGTGAAATCAGCATTTCTGAATGATCCTTTAGACGAAGAGGTCTATGTCACACAACCTCCTGAGTTTGTGATTCAAAAGGAAGCGAGTAAAGTATATAAGTTGCACAAAGCGCTCTATGATCTCAAACAGGAACCTAGGGCATAGAACAAGAAGATCGACTCATACTTAGTTGAATTGGGATTTGTGAAATGCAAGTCTGAGTATGGTGTTTATGTTTAGGTTGTAGCACAAGGTATAATAATTATTTTCTTGTACGTAAATGACTTGTTGGTAACTGGAAATAGTTTGGAGAACTTGTCGAAGTTCAAAAAGCTAATGATGAAGGAATTTGAAATGTCAGATGTGGGAGAATTTTCTTATTTCCTAGGCATGGAATTTCAAATGTCGAAGCAAGGTATGGTGCTACATCAAAGGAAGTATGTCAAAGAAATACTCAAGAGATTTAGAATGGGTGATTCGAATCCTGCATCCTCACATATCGAACCAAATGTGAAATTGGTGAAGAATGGAGAGAAAGACAAAATTGATATAACTTTGTTCAAGCAAATTATGGGGTCTCTGAGGTATGTGTGCAACAGTTGACCAGATATAGGTTTCACAATCAGATTAGTAAGCAGATACATGAGTTAACCAAGGGTGTCCCACATGAATACTGCAAGAAAAATCCTAAGATACTTAAAAGGATCAATAAATTATGGAATACTATTTCAGAGAGACTCTGAAAGCAAAGAAACAACAGTTAATTATTTTTTAGATGTTGATTGGTGTGAAGATAAGGAAGATCAAAGAAGCACAACTGAATATTTCTTTCAAGTATTTGGTGCCCCAATCTCATGGTGTTCGAAAAAACAATATGTGATGACATTATCATCGTATGAAGCTGAATATATAGCTGGATCACATGTTGCATGTCAAGCAATTTGGATCAGATCTATACTTGAAGAAATGAAGGTCGAAGTGAAGAAACCTCTTGTGTTGCAAATCGACAACAAGTCAGTCATAAATCTGGTGAAGAATTCAGTTCTGCATGGAAGAAGTAAACATATCGAAGCAACGTTTCACTTCTTAAGGGCTAAGGTAAATCGAGGTGAACTTGAAGTAAGACATTACTTAAGTGAAACATAATTGACCGATATTTTCACCAAAAGATTGAAGATCGACAAATTCCTGAATTTAAGAAAGAAATTACGAATAGTTTAGATTGAGTATTTTTAGAGTATGTTCGACAACTTGCATTATGGAGGTGTATTAAAATATTAAATTAGATTTGTTAAAATATTAGATTTGATTAGATTTAATATTTAAATATAATCCAAGTTGTGTAGGCCCAAAGTCCAATTAGGATTGTATATAAATAATCCTAGTCTGTATAATTATTTGTACAATTCAATAATACAAATTCTTATTTCCTTATTCTCTCTCTGTATTCTCTCATCACTAAAAGTGTCTCACGTACTAACAAATTGGTATCAGAGCCTTAAGGTGATAGGTGAGTCGATTCTCCCACTTATATATATATATATATATATATATATATATATATATATATATATATATATATATATATATATATATATATATATATATATATATATATTTAATAAAATTAAAATAATTAATTAATTTAAAAATAAATAATTCATCTTTTAATCTTCAATGATGATTATAAAATCAAGTGGAGAAACAAATCAAAGTAAACACTAATATAGTAGAGTAATACAAAAAACAACACGATGGTTAATCACATTTCTTTTTTGTTAGTGTTTTTTCTCTGTGTTACATCCTCGAATGCAGCTAAAATTGTTCCAGTAAATATGATTTGTGAGAGAGTGAAAAACCCTTCATTTTGTTCAAATCTTCTTTATTCAAAATCCGGCGCAGACCTAATTACTCTTGCACAATACACAATTGATGTAGTTCGTGCCAATATGACCAACACAGTGAACCTTATCAATACTCTGATTGCAAGTTCTCATAGTTTGAACGCACTAAGTCATTACAAACTTTGTTTGAAAGTATTTGTTAATGATGGAGGTGCTCTTTTTGTGCTTGAAAATGTTCAAAGAGTTTTGAAGGAGGGAAATTATCAGCTCATGAATGTTGGAGCAAATGATATCATGACTGATATTAATAATTGTATTAATGATCCTACTTTTCAAGATACTTCTTCCCTTTCAAAATCTGCTGGAGATGTGTTGCAAGCCGATCAAGTTATTCAAACTTTATCAACTTTCTTATTGTCTGATAATTGATTGTTGTATAATTCTTTTATGTATAAGATTAATAGTACAATAATTTGTTAAAGATAATCTTACCTAACTTTTGAGTTGGATACATAAAAACTCACTTTCGAATAAAAATTCAATGAATCTATTTCTATCTATTTATTAATAAATTATACAACCTGAAAATCATTTTTTAGGTTTGTGATAACATGTCTATGCAATTTTAAATATAAACAGTTTAATTTTAGTTCTTAGAAAGATATTTGTTATGTTCTTCTAATTATTTTTGTATACTTTTTATATTTAGTATTTATTTTTAAGTCTTTGTAAAATTTATTCATATAAAAATTGATCTTTATAAGTTATAATATGTATAATATTTAATTTTAGTTTTTAAAAATAAAGATTAAAATAAAAGGTTAATATATATTTTGTCCCATGTCATTTGGGCCGAATTCAAAAAACAATCTTGTAAAAAATACATATTTCATTTTTGTCTTTTCAAGATTCTCTTGTTTTAGTCCTTAAATAGATTTAGTCAAAAGAATATCTGATGTGACGCTGCTATGCGGTTTTTTAATTTTTTTTATTGTGACCTGAAAATACTAACTATATATATATATATAATTCCACATTTTTTTTTTAAGTTTGGAGAAATTAAAAGGTTAAAATCTAATATTTGTGGTCGAAGAGGGTTGATCCTATGAGTTTATGTATATTAAGATTAACAACATCTGCCGTCATAGAGTCTTTTTTTTATATAAAATTTTAATTCCACGTGGTTTTTATAAATTTTTAACAAAAAAATCACTTGGCAACGTCACGTCATAGATTCCTTTGACTAAATCTATTCCGGAGATAAAACAGAGAAATTTTTGAAAAGTAATGATTGAATGTGTATTTTTTTACATGGTTGTTTTTCGAATTCTTCTCAAATGACAAGGGACAAAATGTGTAAAAATTAAATTAAATGCTAAAGATAAAAAATAAAAGATGATATATTTATGAAGAATAAAAACAAAAACAAAATAGTTTTAATGAATTTAAATTTAAAATATTACGTATTTGTCAGAATCATTTATATATTTTAGTCTTTTCATTTCTAGTTGAGTTATTTTAATTTTGTCTTTTTAGTCGGGTTTTGCGGGTCGGTCTTTACCACTTATTTCCTATTTCCATGTGTTTTTACAATAATATACTTTTTTTAATGTTCAAATGGGAAAAGAATACTTTTAAAGAGAAGTATTTTTGCTATTTATAAAGAATTAAAATTTCATCTTTTATCTATTTTTAGCTATTGTGTTAAGCCATCTCATGTGAAATATTTCGTTATCATAAAAAAGGTAGAATGTAGTTTAATGTTTGAAAAGATTTTGATGACAAACATTATAGAATAAGACATTTTAAACATCATCAAAGAATGAATCGGAATCAAAAAGCACAAATCATTTAAAGTATTTTTTATCTTACGATCATGTTTTAAATAATGATGTCTCTATTAATGTTAAGATATACACACACTCACAAAAGTAGTTATCTAAACATCACTCTTTCAAAAACTCTTAAGAAAACTTTTTTGAAAAAAAGAAAATAGTTTTTAATTTGGATAATCGGTTATGGTTATGTCATAATTGATTATGCACTCATTTTCGAGCGTGTAATCAATTATGATTGATGTATAATTGATTATAAGGTGTATCAGGTCAAATGTTTTTTAAAATTCTTTCAATAATCAATTAAGGATATGTCATAATCGATTATGAACAAATATAAACTATTTTCATTATTTCTTTTTATATGGGATTTACGACAGTTCAACTATATATAAGACACTGGTGATTATTTGCAAAACACACATGTTAACTTAAAACCATACAAAAAGTCTTCTCTCTTACACTATTTTTCACAATTTTCATACACTTGATATATATTTATGTTAAGATATAAACCACACACACACACACAACATATTTTTGACCAGCCATATCGACTCCGACCGACCATCATAAAGGAACCACAATCCTTCCAGAATTTTCTCAGCATACGAGAATTATCATCCTGATGATTACAAAAGATCTCAACTACAAATGCATCCAATTACTCTCCACAATTCACTCCTAACAAATAACAACTTTGTTATTCTCATCTCTTTATATATAGAGAAGACTCCAAATTAAGGTAACAAGTTTTAAATTCAATTTCACTTCAGTTTTCTCTCTCACATATTGACTAGAGTATTGGAGTGCTAACATTGTTGCCCCTCAAACTCATTTTTGGTTCTTGACAGAATAATGGTACCGTTTGTGGGAATCACTTCTGATTTTTATGATTTCTACAATTTTACGTTTGCTCTCTAATTTATCATCTCGTAACCTCCTCAGATCACCAAATCAAGAGCATTATGAATTGAAGTCAAAGATCCATTGCATTTCGATTCAATCAAGCATCATCTCAACTCTAATTTCTCTAATTTTTAGATCTCTAGTTTCTACAACTTCAAGTGATCGATGAACCTAAAGCTACTCGATCCTCCGCAACGTGCAAACTCGTTGCTGCGCATGAAGCTACCATTGCTTCTCTAGAAACAATCAACTAACCACCTCTACCTCCTCCACAAGGCATCGAAAATCCTAGAGCGGTGATTCCATTACATCTATATCTGGTCTATGCTCCATAGATAACCAGATCTGTTAAAGTTTCTCAGATCAATCCTCTTGTTCCACCTCTAGTTTTGAAACCATAAGCCTTTCATATCCTTCAAATGTTGCAATCAAATCTTATAGTGCAAGGTGCTAACAAACTATTGAATAATGTGTACAACATTGATCAATATTAAAATTCAAATAGACTCGAAGGAAGGCTACAATACCTTGAAGAAATCCTCCACAATGCTCTACCTCGTAGAAACACCACCCAAGAGGTCGCGTCATATAGGACCTATATTGTCATCTAGGGCAAAGAAAGACGAGGTCTTTGATCGAGGGATCAACATAGGAGCAAGAAGCGCCAGGTTCCTCATGTAAGGCTTGGGGGAGGGACCGAGGTAGCCACACTCCTTCCCTGACTCAATCTTTGAATCAACTAGGAAAGATGTGGCCTAAGCATCCATTATCTATTAAGATTTTGGAAATCTAGATACAGAAATCCATGGAGAAGCCGCCCAAATTGGGCAAATATGATGGAAAATGATACCTCAACAAACACATGCACCTTGTCAACAATCGATTTAATTACTCCAGTGTTGATGATGCATCTAAGTTCAAGCTATTTTCATTAACTCTAATCGAGCCGAACATGTTATGGTTCAATGGCATGCTATATGGGAGCATTACATCCTAGACAAATTTATGTGAGTGGTTTTCTACAAGCTTTACATCCTAGAATAGGCGGCTAGTAACTGAGGTCGCCCTAAGTGGGGTCGTCCAGGGAAAGAAGGAAAGTTTTGGTCTTACATAGATAAGTTCACACAAGTTGCTTTCAAAGTCGAAGGGTCCGAATAAGGCCTTAAGTGTTGGATCTTCGAGAATGGACTCATGAACCATACATTCGCGTCAAAGATAGGGAGGAGGCGAGTGAAGATCATACAAGATATTCTTACCATGGATGAGTTGTACATGCTCTTAGAGGAGAAACTAAGCACACTTTTCAATAATCTTGTGTCATCCGAAACCCACTTCAGTCGCTATACCGGGAATAAGTCCCATCGGTACCAAGATGAATCTGACCGAGGTATGCAAGAACGACATGACAAGTACACCCCTTAAAAGTCTCTCAAAAAAAGTACCGAGATTGCGCCAACACTGAATTTAGGAAGGGAGGAGTCAGACATCCTTATCCCGTTAGGGAAGCATCTCGCATTGATAAATCAAAATAGTGTCGCTTCCATAGAAGTCACATCCATACGCTAGAATATTGAATACAGTTGAAGGATGACATTAAAGGGCTAATTAAGAAGGGATGATTAAGAATGATCGAGCATATCAAAGAGGGCAAAAGAGATAAGGAGTAATCACCTAAAAGAATGTCCCCCTCAAAGACTATAGTGTCAGGACTAGCATAAAAAATAGAGAGGTTGGTAAAGGAAAGTGCATGTATATCGCTGCTATCACCGGAGGAGAACCTCAATGAAATCTCCCCCTCCAAGAGAACTACAAAGAAGAAGATCACCAAAATGAGGGCCATCTACAAAATGGATGCATATTCATCGACGAAGATTCCTGACTGACCCATGTTGGGGTTCCAAGAATTAGAAAAGGTCAGAGGCGTCCCCAATGAGATCTTTCCCCTATATATCAACACTTTTGTTCGACAGTTTTACGTTTCCCAAATTATCATTGAAGACAGTAGCTCTTACGACATTATGTACTCGAATTTGATCTAGAAGATACGCCTTGATAGAGGAGGCTTATGGTTGTATGAAGGCCATGTCCTCTAGGCGTTAAATGAAATAACCACCTGTCCATGGATATATATATGGAGTTGATGGTCTCCATAGGCAATGAGAATGACATTTGGGCGATTAATTCACAATTTCTAGTTATCCCCTACAAAAGCGTCTACAATTGTATTATAGGATGATCTTTTGCAACCATGTTAAACGCAATATCCTCGTTGATGCACCTAAAGCCGAAGTATCACAATCTATAGGTATAGCTGACCACCATCAGCGCCAACCTAGAGGAGGAAAATATTCCAAGCCCTCCAAAAAGATCAAGGAGAAGGTGTGGTCGTGGAGACCAATGTAGCTTCCCTCACTGAATAACTCGGTAGGATGGGCATCCGTCCTCCAAATAATGGATAGACTACCAGAGGCTAACAAAAGGAATAAGTGGCGGCTAGCCCGCTTGGTTATGTTTTATGTTCCTCAGTTATATTAAATATTGTGCTTGTGCAACCATCATCCTTATGTAAATGGATATTTTATGATTATAAATTACACATGACATTTTCTAAAATATTTGTCTCTTTTTATTTGTGCATATTGACGACGAGTCTGGGGTATGACCTAACAGTTTGAGGCACAAAAC